GCAAGCTGTTATGGAGATCAGTGGCCACGACATTTCAAGATCCCTCCTCGAGGTCATTCTCCAGAAAAACTAATATTTTTATCTTTCGGGTTACCCGGGAAATATTTAAGGTTACAGTTTTCATAAATTTCAAATAACGGTTTCATTGCAGTTGTGGATACTGAAAAAATTTTGTAACCGCAAAATTTTGGTTTTGGTTACGGTTATGATTTGAGTCCCTGCAAAATAGTATATAGCACAATATCTTGAAGGGCAACTCCACTTCATTTTTATTTTTAAAAAACAACACAGTCCTCTTCAGTATTACCGAGGAAATTCACATGTCAGATATTACGACGTAGATCTGTCTAAATGTTTCCTAAACGGTCCGGAAAACTTTGCAACTCGCCAAGTTGCTGAAATCGGCTGACTTGAGCAGGCGAATTGAGGCACGGCCAACACCGCAGTCAAGGCTACGGCATGGCTAAAGCCAACATTGAGCTAAACGTCATCACCATTGCCCTCTTTTGCTTGCTTTTACTCCTCCGGGCAAGCTTAACGGGTGATGTCAGCAAAGTTTCCTCTCGGCGCACCTGCGCAGCGCGCTTCTTAGGAGCTGTCCGGCAGCCCCGCCACGGTTCCACCGTTACCGCCGTGTATCGCATCACAACCGCCATCGTCGTCTCGCCGTTAAAGGGACCATGAAATGATTTTAAAATCGAATTTCATCCACCGCACGTCGTAAAAGGTGTGAAAAGAAACACAAAAACACAAAAATAGGGAGCCAAAAAAAATTATTTGCTATAGAACTTTTAAAAGAAAACTGGACTCTTTTGCGCCTTCTTTCCTTCGCTTTTTCACTATGATGCATCTGCGGAAACGGAGCACGTCAGCCGAATCCATGTCGCCTATTGGGTAAGAGCCTACCTCACCAGCACCGCGATCGTAAACAATAAATAGCCGGCGAATGTTTCCTAAAAGTTTTGTTAAATAATATTCAGATCCACATTTTGTGGCATAATTAGAGATGTGTGGCGAAAATTGCCAAATTTGATAATGCTGAGAGCCAAGCGCCATCTATCGTGTGGTATACGAAGCAACTATTGCGCGTGCGCAGTAGGGCAGGGCCGACTTCAGTTAGTGGGGTCGCGACGAACGTTTATTTCCTTTGATTTCTTTCCTCTCAAAACTCTGACTCACTGAACGTTTATTTTTCTACGTGTTCTTCTCGCGCGTGCCGACTTCAAGCAGCAAGAAAAAAAGTACCTAAAACAGACCACGACGAACAAGAACGCTGGATCCACAAACACCCGAGAAGAGCGACAATGGCCACGAATCCAACGACTCCGACGAAGCGAGCTGCTCAGAACATAGGCCTAGCAGGCACTCCGACTCGGCGCAGCGTTGTTTCGTCGCAAGACTGTCTGCCTACGACCGGCTGGCGTGCTGAATGGTATATGCCAGCGCTACCCTTGTGGACCCTTCCCGTATTATAGTTTGATCGCTGACCTCAATTTTAGATTAAGAGGTGAGGTCAATCTCTTCCCCTTGTTTTCCGAGGTAGTGTTGACTAACACTCGTCGAAAAGGAACTCTCGTCGATTCTATCTTCTTGTTTTGTGTGATGTAGAGCTGAAATAAACGCCGTATGAATTACCTTCGTAACACGGTATGTACACTTTGTTATTGGTATGCCATTTTTATTCTGACCGACTGCACGTCACTGTCGAGCTATAACAGTTCGTGGGAGGTATACATGCACTGCCGGTCCAACCTTTCTTTGCCGAGTGTCGCGTCAGTATCGAGTTGCAATCGTAAAAGATCGGTCCCGAAGCGCTTACCAACAGCGCGAATACAGCACTTCCATCAAACGCGCGCATCCGCTCCGAGTGTGAACAGGTATTTACGTGGCTCTTGCTGACACTCGTAGTTCAAACGTATCTTTTTTAACGTCGGCTCGCTCCTGCATCTCCGAGGTCGCGAAAAACGCCGCGGCAATTTGTTTCCATCTACGTCGCTTTGCAAACGACTGACACGGGCCGCCTTTTGCCAACAATGGCAGTTGGGTTGACTTCTGGAGTAAGACTCGCCGCACTTCCCAACAGGCATACCGGCGTATGGGACTAGTCCCACGCTGTCGCTGTAGCGCAACATATCTCATTAGTTTCGCTCAACTGCGATGCGGCGATGAGAGGCGCCGATTCAGAAAATACGTCGATGACATCAGCGCAGTAAAACCTACTGGCGCACCCCAACTCGTTGCCGCTAACGCTCCTATTCTCCTACTGCCGAGAGAACTTCCGGTTCCGGAAACAGCGTACGTCACGGCTTGTTTTGCAGTCAGTTGGAGAGAAAGAAAAAGTCGATATTTCATTAATTTTTTGTGTAGACGTTAATGACCAGAGACGAAAACGGATGCCTGTTCGGCATTCAGTGAACATTGACGGTTTAATGTAAAAGTATCTGGAAAAAGTAAAAAAGTCATTTCATGGTCCCTTTAAAATTATTGTCTCTCAGAGTTTCGTCCACAATACAGAAACTATGTGCGCAGACTTATGCCGCAGTTGTTCAGACGTTGAATGTCGTAGACATCAAAATATGGTCAACAATGCGGTGCAGACGACACTTGCACTTGCACACGCCTACCCCAATCCCGCCCACGATCGTGTAGAGGATCACGTGACACTTTGTACATCGTGATAGCCATGTTCTTGGTGGACCGAGGCCAATGTTGTTGGACGGAGCCAAAGTTTAGGTTTCTGCTAGTGTTTAAAATTAGACTTAAAAATATAGATCCCATTTTACGCGAGGCAAATGACGTAGTGTCTTTTACTAGGGCTCTTCAATGCAAAATCACTTCTCATCCCGAAAACTTCGAAAGTGAGCGGAGTTGCCCTTTAACAGCTCTTCACGCCACAATCGCGGGTGCATAGCAGGCATTTCATGCTTTCGTAGCTTCTTCGCTCATACTTATGACTAAAAGGAGCAGGTATAGTAAACGGGCATCACGCAACAGAGATTACTCGACCGCTCTACAGATTGACTCCCATTCAGGTCGGAACTAACAGTGGCGGGGATGGAGCCTAGGATCCCTGGGTTCTGAGCGTGCGTTTCCCTCCCCCTGATCTACCAGCTGGCCAACACACCGGTTGCGGGTCCCCTATACTCCGTTCACTCCTAAGTTGAGACTAACAGCTCTGCCTTCACACAGGCTTTCTGCCGCAGGCAGGCACAACCAAAGCACTGCGGAAGCCAGCGAGCTCCCACTAAACACGGAGCTTCTAGTTTCAGCTTAAGGGTAAACGGAGCATAGCGCTATACAACTAACATTCGTCCTTACTTAAATATCCTCCGTGTAAAAACCAAGCCCACAATCTTTAATACATTTTCTTCCAAACAAACAATGATCCCACTCCGCGGCTCAAAGCAGCCAGCACAGCAAGCTGAGCCTGCATGGTGTTGACGGTGTCCACGGAAAGCGGCAAGATAGGAGCGCCCCTAGTGGCAAGGCGCATCGAGCGAGAGAGGAGGTTAGGAGAGGGCGTGAACATGCTCTTCGGACTCTCTCGCCAGGCATTACCCTGTAAAGGAGGCACTGCTTTTTACCCTCCCTCGGAAAACATGGCGGCACTGGCGGTACTCGGCAGATGTAGCACTGAGGATGATCGGTAAGTCAAAGAAGCGGACAAAGTTACCTTTTTTAGGTGCCCGACGACCTGGGACTTTGAAAAGGAAATCGTCAAACAGTCAAAACAACTGGATTCGGTGTCTGTTTCCATAACTTCGGTTGCGACTTCGCTGAGGCAGCCTTCCATGTGGAAACGGCATGACATGGCCCTTCACGTCGCTCACAAAAGTCCACTGCGCGTTCTCTTCAACCTTACACCATTTCAAAGAATTTGAGATCGCTCAAAGGGCCTTAAAAGAGCTTCAAACTCGAAAGTGAAGCGTCGTCTGCTCACAGTGATGGGCGGCAGGCACAAAAAAAAGTGTTTGATCGCAGGACGCAAGCGAACACGACACTTCGAGTCGGGATGATTCGGAGTGAAAGAAACTCAAGTTGCAAAACGACTCAATCTCTGACGTCACTACACTGATGCAGATTGTGAGGGAACTTCGATTTCAACTTTAGGATCTCCGTGAAATAAACCCCGTGCAGTCAACCGTACGACAATTTAACACCTACGTAGCCATCGGGCACGCGGAACATCAGAAAACACCAACTGAATTACAAAACACAAAACTTTGCCTCTTAAAAGGATGCAATGAATACCCGAATCGGAAAGGATATTCGGCCCCTGTCAAGGTAGCTAGAAGTGCCCAGAATACCGCATATAGTAACTTAGCACTTAACTTCCTAACATTCACTCACCAATTCCATGAACCTCCCTTCAAATTCCTCATTTGCCGCTTTCGTCTACTCTAAGCGTAACCCTTATCACCATGCGCACTTTTTTCTGGGATTTGGACTTCCTGTACATGCTCCCTACAGGAGCCAGAGTTGTGCATTCAGCCATCTTGAAATCTTTAGTTATGCGGGGAAGCCACTTGTTCCGCGTAAGGGAGCCACGCTACGTCGATTGGAGCCGGTCACGTGACTGAATTCCGTGAATAGCGGTGCCGCGTAAGGAGCCGCGCTTGTAAAGCAGAAAAGAAGGAGGAGGAGGCAAAAGCAGTCCGACTTTTGCCTCCTGCCACACATGCATGCCGGCGTGCATGTGTAACACATCGGCGAACCGACTTTTCTTCATCACGAAAAATTCTTTGCTCCTCACGTGATCGATCTCGGTTAACAGCGGCGCGGCGGCACGTGGAAAACACACGCGCAACTCTGGCTCCCGTAGGGAGCATATACATTAACTCTATTTCGACTCTACTGAGGACGCCTTCCTGGCTGAGGATCTCAGAATTAGCACGGACTTCTAGGAGTCCGTACAGGAGCTGATGTAGACTTTGACCGGCCATAGTCGAGCCACCGCCACTCTTCTATGTTTATTAAAGAGGGGGAAACAATAAACTTACTGTGACCTGAAGACTGATTTGGTTCCATACGAACTGTTGGATGGAGTCGAGTTCCAAGACACCCGCCAGGCGCGGTCTCACAGAAGCCAAGCCGTTTTCCACGAGGCTCCCACAACTGTAATCGTGCTGCAAGTTTAGACAGTGGGAGGTTAGTGATCTCCAATGGGTGTCTGTCGCCTCCACCACAAATAAAAAAAACTTTCAGCCTTTCAACTCTGGTGAAAAAGGAAGAGCAGCGGAGCTGTGGCTTCTGTTCTCAACGGTGGCTTTCCAGGCGAGCGATCTGCTCTTCTTTCGCAAGGGAATCTGAAACGCTCGACGCACGCGGCGGTTGCGAACCCATTCGCGCTGCTGCGTACGTCGCCACTCCTTCCGCACCCGGTTTTATTTCCCCAAAGGAAGGGCACGCGGCCGACCCATCGTGAGTCCAAACCGAAACTGATAAGAGCGTAGGAAACAGCGAGCAAAACAGACAAGGACGAAGAAGAAACACACGTGACGTCCGCTGCGCTCATCACGCGTGTTTCTTCTTCGTCCTCGTCTGTTTTCTGCGCTGTTCCCTGCGATAAATTCCCACCAACTCGCCCAACTATCCATTCTTTTATGACAGCTGGAAAGGTTGCCGCCATCTATGAGCGACGGCGGCAACCTGACTGGTTGCCTGGTTGCTGCCGACGCTTATAGATTGCAGTAGTTGTCCACAGGTTTGTGTCGACATTTCTTTCGTACCGGACACGATCCTGGGGAACCTAGCCCTTAACAGCTCCTCTGTAAAATTCTGCCAGTGCAGTACGACCCCTAGACTGGGGTCTAATGTGCATCGTGCAGTGGCGACACACAACCGCACGTCAGTACGACGCTCATCCGGATCGAAACTGGCGGGAGCAAGGATTAATCCCCGGGTTCTGCAGCACGAGCTCTCATCCACGTTAGCCGAGCTGTGGTGCGTTAAGACGTCCGGTCATTGAGCCCCCTGCACTCTATGAATCGACTTCAGAACCCACGGATGAAAAACATTTCTCGGCAAGCTGAAGGCAAGCTGCAAACACGCAAATAAGGCAAGTCTAGAACTCTCTGGAAAGTAAACAAATACATAACCTTCGGAGTAACGTTGTCGGCCGCGACGACTTTTCACACAATGTCCGCTGTCAAATTAGGTTTGCCAGGTGTTGGGTCATCCTCCTTGCAAATGTTTCGAGCACTACTAAACGAAGTAGTTTACAATGAAGAAGTTATACAAAGTATAGTTTACCTATACTTAAATTTGATGGTTGAGTACGAAATATTTACGAGACCTAATCGCTGCAGCTATACCAGGCATCAACTATTTCGTGCTGTATTGTGGAGCCTAGCATAGCTTCCACAGTGCAGCAGTCATGCACTGTGGAAGCTATGCTAGCCTTGAGAACGTAGCACAAAATAGACGATGCCAGGCATAGTAATAGACCTATTGCTAAATTACCCTTGCATCAACGAGAAGGCTGGGAATATAAGTCAACACGCCCTCACCTTCCCCCAATTAAAACTTTGAAGTGAATGACCAAAATAAGGCATTGCCAAACGGGAAACAAGATGGCATATTTGTTTTAGGCTTTTGCTCTAAAATAGCGACTGCTAGACAGCAGCACATGCAACACGTGTAATTACACTCGTAGCATGCTTCTTGGTGCTTCGGGTTCGGGTTGGTGGGTTTCGGTTCAGTTTCGGTTCAGTTCCACGGGGAGCAAAGATAATGGTGGAAACCGGTTCGAACCACTAAACCGAGAATATGTTTTCCGCATTGTTTTGGCAACAGGCACTATTACCACCGTGAAAAGAGTAACTATCTATATAGTTTTCTTTTTATCATTCCTAAATCTAGTTTTATTTTCAGGGATCAAAAATAAGAAATACCGTTATTTCATTTTTACGCAAAAGTAAACAAACAAAAAAGATCAGGATGAACATTCAAAGTGTGTTTATACGACTCATCATCCATTTGTTTACCTGAGTCATATCCATTTTACCTGGATTGAAAGGTTGTCACGAAGAATGGTAGGTTGCCTAAAATACACGTGATTGGTACAATTTTACGTTGCAGTATTAAAAGTTGGATCATAGTTGTGCTCTTGAACTAAGCAATCTGCATAAAATCACGAAAAGGCCACCTCGTCGCCATATAGTGAAACATAGATTACGAAACAAGTTTTACAATATGTATGATGACGACGCAACTGAGCAAAAAGGAATAACATTTTCTAAATGTTGCAAAAGTTTTATAACGAGCCCTTTATTTATTTATTTATTTATCAATACTGCCAGCCCAATATAGGGAAAAGGCAGGAGTGGGGTGATACAGTGTCACACATGCAAATTATAAACACAACAGTTCTAAACAAAAAGCAATCTTAGCACCGAAAAATAATATCTACGACTTATTCGAAAGAAGAGAAACAATATCAACAGTAATACAGTAACCAAATGTAATACTAGTAATAACAATAACAGTATAGCAGTAAATGTAACAGCAGTAATAAAAAATAAAGACAGTAAAAATAATTTCATAAGAGGAATAAAAGCAATCTCAGCACTGAAAAATAATATCTACGGCTTTTTCGAAAGAACAGAGTGAATCAATATCGACAACATCACCGGGAAGGCTGTTCCACAAATCAATTGTATGCACAAAAAAAGATTGTTTATAACTATTTATTCGAGCTTTAATAGGGGCTACGGTCTTTGAGTGATGCAAGCGTTCCGAGTAAAAACTTTTTGGTTTTAAGTAAACGGAGCCATCAATTTTTATACAGTTCTTGAAAATCTGGAAGAACAGCTTCAACCGTTGGCTCTCTCTTCTGTTTGACAGAGGGCTTATATTGGTTCTCCTTTTAAGTTCGGTCACAGACGTAGTTCGTCTGAAATCTGAAAAAACTATACGCACTGCTAGCGATTGAATATCTTCGAGTTCTTTGACCAGAGAGCTCTGCCATGGGCTCCACACTGCAGATGTGTATTCTAACACAGGTCTAATAATTGCCTTATACGCAAGAATTTTAACGGAAGGGGGAGTTTTACCCAGCGTTGTCTTCAGGTACCACAATTTGTTAGTTGCCCGCTTATTAACATACTCCACATGCTTTTTCCACCCGAGGTCACAAGACAAAATCACTCCCAAATATTTGTAACTGTCTACTTCAGTCAATACTACGCCAGCAACCTCATAGCTAAAGTTTAAGACAGTTCTTTTTGTTGTAATATGCATGTACTGAGTTTTGCTAATATTAATCTTCATGTTATTTTCACGACACCAAGACGCAATGCTAGCCAGCGCATCACTCACTTTGATCTGGTCTTGTATTTCAACAACGGGACTGTAAATAACGCAGTCGTCGGCAAACATTTTTAGCTTAATTGGGACATCTTCAGTGGATGGGAACAAACTGTTAACGTAAGTTTAAAAAAAGTAGGGGCCCTAAGACAGAACCTTGGGGCACCGCAGAATGAACATCTAACAGTCCTGAGTAAGTACCATTTATATCCACAAATTGTTGACGGTTTGAAAGATATGCATTGATCCACCTAGTCAAAGAAAAGGGAACTCCGAGGTCTATTAATGTTTTAATTAGTCTGCGGTGAGGTACCCGGTCGAATGCCTTCGACAGGTCGATAAACACTGCATCAACCTGCGTACAGTTGTTAACGTAAGTGGCTAATTCATGGTAAAATTCAATCAACTGGGTTACCGTTGACAGGCCACTGTGGAAACCATGTTGGTTGGGGTTTAGAACATTATGCATTTCTAAGAAAGAAACGAGTTGTTTGGTTATGATATGTTCTAGTAATTTACAGGCCGTGCAAGTCATGGAGATAGGACGATAATTATCAATTGAGTCACTTCTGCCAGATTTCTTTATAGGGACAACCCTAGCGACTAGCCAGTCATTCGGTAATGCAGCATCCTTAATTGATATAGAAAATATTCGTACAAGGTATTTGGCCACCCATTCTACATATCTTTTAAAGAAGGCATTCGGCAAAGCATCTGGTCCCGGGGATTTTTTTTCATCGAGTGAAAGTAGTAGTGCAACAACACCCTCCTCAGATATAAAACTGCTCATGTCATCTGCGGGTGGAATAATACCTAATGTTCTGACATGACTCTCTTGTAAATACAGACTGGAAAAACTGATTGAACTTAACTGCTATTATTGCCTTGTCACTCACCAGGCTACCGTCAATAGATATCTGTTTAATACCACTTTTTGTAGGAGATAGGTGACGCCAGAACTTTTCGGGGTTAGATAGCAAACATTCAGGTAACGTCCTTGTATAGTATGTTTCTTTAGCCAATTTTATTAAGTTTTTTAGTTGCCTCGCCTGCTGATTTACATAATCAGATCGACGCTCCCGAAGCCTTTTCAGCTTCCGTTTGACGTGCAGAATTTCCCGTGTTATCCACGGGTTTCGGCGTTTTATCTTTTTTGCCTTTTTTGGAATAAAATAAGCAAGACAATAGCCCACTATACACTTAAAGCTCAGCCACATTTCATTTACCTCAGTCCACTGATTGAAATTATCGAGGCACTGCTCAAGATAGTCAACAACGGATTCATCATTTGCCCTACCAAAATCATAGTACATCTTCTTTTCATAATGTTTAGACTTAGTAACAGAAATATCACATTTTAAAAATACTAACTTAAAGGCGGGCACTCAAAATTTTCTTCAGCGTGGCAGAAGATTCCTCCTTTCTTTTTTTCCTCCTCCCCTTTCCTCCTTACTTTTTACGGCCCTTTACGGCCTTCTCGCACGAGTGCTAATGGGCTTACCGGCCCCCCCGACAAAATCTCTGTCACCCTTCAAGGTTCTCTGCTTCAATCCCAAACACCAGGGATTAGTTAGGCAGGCTCGGTATGAGCTCGTAAAGGTTCGGGCTGGCTCGCTTTTCTGCTGTATTTTTTTTGTTTTTTACTTTTTTCTTTTTTTAGCTTCAAAACAGACTCAGACACTTCCGCATGCGGCCACATACGCTACAATACCACATATTTATCTCGAGTGAACGGAACTTGAACATCACAGTAGAAAGAAACAAAGGTGGGTATTTTTATTTGAACTTTGAGCTCTACCCAGAGAGTTGAGAATTGGTCGTTCTAACAACGGCACACTGAAGCGCGATTGTATCAGTATTTCGTGTTTTTTTTTTGTTCAAAATAATAATCACAAGTAAATACAAGTAAAAAATATTGCAGTAAGAGGGCGAAGCATGTAAAATTAGTTGCATTTTGACAATATAGTCATGTATCAAAATGAACACAGTCTGACCAGTTCTGGCGCATAATATATATGTTCGTACTACAGGTGTTTTCTAGAGTAACGGCTGCCTCGTTGAAGGAACTAAGAAGAGTAAAAAACAAACTTCCATAAAAGCAAATCGGTTTACGATTTTTTCATGCATCTTCAGCCTTTGAAAGAAGTTCTTCGTGGCCAAAGTTGCATTTAGTTTCTGTCAACAAAAGTAACTGAAAACTTAACAGCCGACAAATATGTTGCGTATCAGCAAAGAGAGCGGGAAAGAGGGAGATTGAATCGGCAAATTCAAGATTTTCTACACGTAAAATAGTGCACAACTAGCAATAATAGCAAATTATGCCATTTATAAAAAGACAGCAGGTATTACGAAGTTTTCATTTTGTTTTGTTCCCGTTTGTTCGCAGTCCAATGAGAAATGGAATACTCCTCAAAGTAGAATGGTTCAGAACCAATGGTCTATGGAACGCGATTCGTGAGGTACCGAAAAACGCCGCTCGTAATTCCCGCTATCGCCATGAATTCACATAAACAACGAAAGATGCCAAATCAGAGATTTAGAACAAAATTGATACTTCAATGACTACTTCTTTGAATAAAACAACAGTTATTAGTGTTTTCACAACAGCAGAAATCGTTCTCCAAACCCACGCTAAAAACAGCCATCGAACTCGTTGGGGAGAGCAAGTGCCAAGCTCGCTCAAAACAGCCTCGGGTGGTTCAGCTCCCTGTCGCGGAGGTGCCGGCTTGACCCTGGATTCTTCAAATCCTTCAAACGTTGATTGCACCCACCCCAATCTTCCACAAAGGGGATCAGGCAGGCAGTCAGGAAAAAAAAGGTTGGAAAATGGCGAGGAGGAAACGAGAGGTGATTTCCTCCTTTCACATGGCGAGAAGAAAAGTGAGGGTCCGGTTCCTTCTCTCTGCCTGCGGGCCGGCCTTTAAGGTCAGATATTCCATCATGAACAGAAACCTCACAACCATCGAAATGATTACTAACAAACAAAAGATCGAGTAGCGAACATGTAGTGTCAGTAACACGCGTAGGTTCCGTAACAACTTGACGTAGACCGCGACTGAAAGCCAATTGTAGAAGCGAGTCGGACATCCTCGTGCCCTGGACAGCCACACCATCATCCGACCAAATGACGTCCGGAGCGTTAAAATCTCCTCCAATTATCAATTTACTTCGACTATTAGTGTTTGCGATCAAGTAATCCAGGATTTTATCTAAGTCCTCAGAGGATGATCCTGGCTTTTTATATACCATTCCAACAGTTATCCAAGTTCCGAAGAAATCCAACTTGCACCACACACTTTCACTGTCACCAACATGCTCCATGGATTGAAAAACCAAGTTGTCTTTTATCGCTATAGCTACTCCTCCACCTCTGCCGCACCTACCTCTGCGAATTAACCTATAGTTTGGTGGTACGACTTCGTTATAAAGAATATTACCATTCAGCCAGGTTTCGGTTATCAGAAAAACATGCGGGTCGTAGCAATAAATAAAAGCTTCTAGTTGGTCAGTTTTGTTAACTAAGCTTCGTGCATTTAGGGATACCAGTCTTAGTTCTTTTTTTTTCTTCCTCTCTGTGTCATGCGCAGGGAGTAATGCGCTGGCTGGAAGTTTGTACTTGTTTCACTTTTTCATTTTTCTGGTCATCCCATATGTACACTTCACCATTTATCTTCAGCTTATCATATGAAAAATACACCTTTTTCCCCCCTTTCCCTGTTGGCTCGTGAGCTGTTCCAAACAAGTCTCCTGACTGAGCGAACACGGTATGAAAAATCTTCACCAATGAATATATTTGTGCCTTTTAATTTTTTAGCATTTTGAAGTATCAGCTGTTTTAACCGGTAGTCCATAAGTAAGTATTTCGGTCTACCTTTCATAGAAACACTGAGGGGTAATCACAACACTCGTTTTCCAGACCAACATTCGTTATGCTCAGCAATGTTACGCAGGAGAAGAATCATGCAGAAAGGAGTGATCCAAATTGTTGTCTAATATATACAAACCTTCAAACTAGGATAGAATCTGACCTCAAAAAGTGTGTGCCCAAGCGAACATTATCTTATACGAGAGGAACAACATAGCCTGGCTGTTGAGGTTTGTGCCTTACAAGACGCCTGTCAATTCAATTCGCAAATTAGAGTGACCCTTGCTAATCCGTGATTTTCTGTCAAATAGAACAAAGTAGTATTTTATGCTATATTCGAAATGGTAGCAACTTAATTGGTCACTTTCTCACGGTATTCGTGCGTAATTGTCATAGTTCCACCACACGCCCCTGTGTACAGTGCTAATCACACTTGTCTATAACACGCGAGCTCGCAGCTTTCTCCAGGGAGCGTTCAACTGGTGGCATTCGCGGAAACTAAGCTAGTCACGTGGCGCAACATCGAACGGCCCGCTCGAGGGGTGTCCTGCACACTCTATCAGCTGGCAGCAAAAGCGGAAGGCTGTTCGCACGCTTTTCACAAACATCATTGCTCGAACAATAAACAAACTAAAGCATGAAGGCGTATCAATGATGTCGTCATCAAAAAACAAAAATATATCATAAAGCACTTTAGTTTTATCGCTTATCAAGCTGATAGAGTGGGCAGGACACTACAGTCACTCGCTTTTTCTCTAACAACCTTGTCGAGACTTCTTCGATACCGACGTCAAACAAAAGTGATCGTGCTCAGCGTCGTCTGCTTCCATTTTAATTGGAGACCCGTCTGCAACGGGGGAGGAAGTGGAAACTGAGTAGGAGCAGCTGAAGAGCAGCGCTTTTTTTGCCGTTGAGAAGGCGCTTAGAGAACTCCTACAAGAGTTACTCCATTTGCAGCTGAAAGCAGCTACTGAATTTATTTATTTATTCCCTCAGGGCCCGAAGGTATTATAGAGGGGAGTGGACACACACATCTAATTGCACACAAAGACAAACAGTAATTAGGCAGGTAAGCATAGAAAACCAAAAGCAGAACATTGTTCAAATAAAACACTGTCAACCAACATGCCCATCCTTCGTGCAGTGCCCATCCTTCACTAAAGGACAGCATTTGCCCGGTACTCCTGAGGGACTCCCTCCTCCGCTTGGGGGTGTTACTTTTACAATTATATTTGTGTTACTTTTGAACAGTAATCCTCCGTTGCTTTTATTTTGGAGCGATGCTATATGGGGGCACTACGTAGTGCACTTTGGACGGAAATTGCTATATGCACTACGCGGAGAGCTCATGCCGCTCAGGCCACCCTTTTTCGAACTGCGTGTGTATCACTGGGGAGCTCGTTAACACAGCCCCCCGCCTGCGTTCACGCCGCTTTGTGGCGACAGTATGCGGCTGCCAATTAGAAAAGTTAACTGGTACACGCCGCTTCGCGGCGTCCAGCCGGCAACCCAAGCCCCGCTGTCCCTGATCTGCGGAGTTTCGTCGGCAACATTCTGTGTTTTTTTTTTTAGTGTTCATCGCAAAAAAGAAATATAAATATCGCCAAATGCCTCGACAAAACAACATTCAAGAAAAAAAAAAGAAAAAAAAAGGTAGGCCCATTGCGATTCGAACCCACATCCACTTGTGCACGAAGCGGACACCTTAACCCCTACGCTATGCCACCGCTTAGAAAACTTGTTGTGACCATTCATTTTATACGAGACAAACGTAGTGCATATAGCAATTTCCGGCCGAGCTGCACTCCGGAGTGCATATAGCATTACTCTTTATTTTGTACCCAGCAAATGTTAAGTTTAAACAATTGATATGGAGGTGGTCGAAGCTTGGTGAATAACTTGAGAATGGCACTCCTGTGAGGTGGCTGCCACATTCCGCTGTCCCTCTGAGGCCACTAGGATCTTTCTTTTCTGGTATCCTTCCCGTAAACACTTGTAGTTCTCCGTAACGTCGTATAAATACGTCACATTTCGTCCCTTCAATGCTTCTAGCATCGAGGGCAACTTTCTGAGGGAGTTCAGCAGAAATGAAAACATGTTAGAGCCTCAATAATGTGTACTACACGTAACATGGGTCGTGCATGTTTGCACTTTCAGTGAATATAACTGAAAACTAATCCTCGATGTTTTGTGTACTACACGTAACATGGGTCGTGCATGTTTGCACTTTCAGTGAATATAACTGAAAACTAATCCTCGATGTTGATAACTTGCAACAACACCAATTCGTTCCCTTCAACTCGCAACGACTACAGGCGACCACATGATCTGATGCTAATTATATACGGTAAGTGTTCATCATAGACATGCGCTGAAGTTGGCAAGGCATAGAACACGGGCTCAGCTTCAGACATCGTTCGAGTTGGGCTACCATCACCCGAATGCCTGCCGATGCTGCAGGAACGACGCGGGCCACTGCACTGGGTGTCGCTGAATCTGGATCATCAAGGTAAAACAGCGCATAACAACGTGCCTGAAGAAACAAGGGAGGCAATGACACAGCGCCTTTTTAGGTTGCCAAGAAAGGTACCCGCTTGTTGATTAAGAAGAACTGTAGATGTTTCAGAACATGAAATCGATCTCACCTCCGAAAACTCGCAGTTGCTCCGTTGCTCTGCCGCTCTGCTCGCAGTCGTGAAGGGTTGGAAAACAAATAAATAGTCACCGCTTTCGCAAGTGCAACGTTTCGCCGCGAGGCGCGTCACTGAAACAGGGTCCTGAAACTGATGGATGAGTAGGGCGTGCCATGCATTCATCCACCCGGCGTTTTCGCTCGCTCTCAGTGCCAGAAAAATCAATATTGTTTCTGTATTCGCTGTGTCGGATAACAAGAAGGGTACTTACTGCGTCGCGCGTAAGTGTAGAGCAATCCACTACGACGTGAGCAATCCGAAACTGAAACTTGCCGTTGATTGCATCTGAATCGCTAGGTATACGTTGCTATTTTGCAATAATATGCTCTGTGTCGTTGTTTTCTTCGTGTCTTGGTCCGTGCTTTTTCGTCACTTTATGCCCTTTGCTATTTTGCACATTGTTCATTCTTGACCGGCTGCTCTCAGGTGAAAGAAAACGAATTTCCAACCGCAAACTGTGTTCTGGGTACAACCACTTAACCACAGTGGTTTTCACGGCTTCAGATGTCTGAACTCGTGCGCAAAAGCGCAAAAAGTACACGTTAAAGCAGTCTCACATGAAGCAGGGCCTTGTGAAGTTTATTTCAAAGCTATCGCCTCACACGTCAACAATTCAGTCTTGGGAGCAGTACCTGTAACAAGTATGTAGCGCCAGGCGCCAGGCTGCGATTCGTTCACTTCTCGGCGGGTGCTTCGGCCCCCTTCGTCCACGATCCCGAAGAATCGTGACAGTACCTGTTTGTTGAGTGGAGAAGTCTTTGAACGGTGAAATTAAAGGGACACTGACACCCCCCAAAAAATTGTTTTTATTTTTTGCCAGGCGCTTCATTATGGTGTCGGAGGACTACCCAATTAATATTTTGCAACAGAGTAGCGTATTTTTTTAATAAAGCCAAAAGACGCAACTGCTCGAAACCGAAACCGAAACCCGACGGAGGTCGGAGAAGTGGAGAGAAGAGAGTGAGTGGCGGAAGTCACGTGGCTACACCCAACCGTGCGTTTTTCTTTTTTTTTTTTTTTTTGTAGCAGACGACACGACGTGCGGCGTGCGATGCGGCGTGCGGGAGCTGCTCGCCGTGCGATTCTTTTGCAGTTGACACCCCTTTTGCAGTTGATTTTAAGACAAGGGTTTTAAACCCTTGTCTTAAAATTATTTAAATTTATAGGGTAGGCTGGTGGTCATACTAGACGGTATATAACAAAATTTCAGCTCTGTCGGTTGAATGAGAAGGAAACTAGGTCCTCCGAGCCTCCGTGCACAAGTTTCGGTTTCGAACAGTTGCATTTTTTTTTTTTTTTTTTACTTCATTAAAAATATATGTGACTTTGTAGCAAAATAATAGCTTTGTTCGATTTATCTACACCGGTGCAAAAAAGTGTAGGGCGGAGTACGTTCGGTCGTGTCTGAATACACGTACCGGAAGTACACTGCCCTGTACACTTTCTGCTCGGTCGTTTGCACTTTGTGCTGAGTTGAAAGATGTTGGGCCCACCCTGAATGTTCTGAAGGCGAGAACGACATGTAGTACAATCACTGAAAACGGGAGAAAATCGGCGCGTGCCTTTCGACTGTTTCTTCAGCACGTGCTCCATGTCTTCCGGCGAGTTTTGGCAACATGTGCGCGCTCAAGGAGCCCGAGGGCCGAGACGCAAGGAGTTGCCCAGCTAAAGGGACGCTAACAAAATAGTTATGCTCGCCGTTTTTTCTTTTTTTGTAACATGACTTGTAAGAGCTTGTGCAATTTGGTGATTCATCGTGAGGTTACAGCCAATGGCGTCACAAAGGGCTACTGCCCCGGGTGCCGCGACTGGTTACCGCTAAAGCCCTCCTGTCCTGGGAAAAGTGGCGCCATTTATTGTTGTAGAAATGCTCGAGGCACGTTCTGGGGTATTAAAGGGCAACTCCGCTTCATTTTTGGTCTTGAAAAAACAATGCAGTCCTCTTCAGTATTGCCTAGGAAGACCACACGTGAAATCTTACGACGCAGTTCTGTCTAAATGTTTCTTAAACGGTCCGGCAAACTTTGCAACTCGCCAAGTTGCCGAAATCGGCTGACTTGAGCGGGCGAATTCAGGCGCAACCAACAGCTTAGTCAAGGCTACGGCATGGGCGGAGCCAACATTGAGCTAACGCCATCTACATGGCCCCCTTTTGCTTGTTTTCACTTCTCCGGGCGAGCGTAGCGCATGACGTCAGCAACGTTTCCTCTCGGCGCTCAGCAGTGCGCCTGCGCAGCGCGTTTCTTGGGAGCCGTCCGGCCGCCCGCCGTGGTCCCGCCGTTACCGCCGTCTTCCGCGTCACAACCGCCGTCGTCGTCTCACCGATTGTGATTATTGTCTCTCGGAGTTTCGTCCACACTACGGACACCACGTGCGCGCACACTTATGCCGCAGTTGTGCAGACGTCGTCGAATGCCGTAGACACCAACGCGTGGCGAAGAGTGCGGTGCAGACGACACTCGCGCCGCCGAGGATCACGTGACATATCGTACCACGTGATGGCCATGTACTTGGCGACCCGAGGCCAATGTTGCCGGGTGGAGCCGAAGTTTCGGTTTCGATTTCCGCTCGTGTTTAAAATCAGATTTAAAAATATATATCCCGTTTTTCGCGAAGCAAACGACGTAGTGTGTTTTACTAGGGCTTTTTAATTCGAAATCAATCATTATCCCGAAATCTCCGGAATTGAGCGGAGTTGCCCTTTAATGGCGTCTGAAATCTAGCTCAGTGCTGGGGCTGGGCTGTGCCACCATGATCTTCCCAAAGGCTGCACGTTGCACGTGCCTCGTGCATCGACGAACCTTGCGCAGCGCTACTTTTGAAACATCAAGGGACTTTAGTCCTTTAGTTACCGCGCGTGAGACGAGGACAAAACGACACACAAAGAGACAAAAAGAAGCGCTGTGTTTGTCTCATTTTATCGTGCGCTGTAACCAACTACATAAGCTCAATTACCCTGAACACAGTTTGCGGCTCAAAATTCGTTTTCTTTCGCCTGAAAACAGCCGGTCATGAATGCAGCGCGCCCAGTGCACTCTGGCAGCAGAAGACTGTCATGGGTTAGTTTCGATTTCGGTTTTATGCGGCTTGTGCACTACTATCGTCTCCGCACTGCATTGCTCACCTCGTAGTGGATTGCTCTACGCAATGGCGCGATGCAGTAAGTATTTTTTTCTTCTGTATCGATTTTGCTGGTACCTAGAGCGAGCGAAAACGCCGGACGGATGAGTGCATGGCACTGATGGCACACTGGGCACGCTGTGGCCCACTGCTCTGTTTCAGTGGCGCGCTTAGCGACGAAACGTTGCACTTGCGACAACGGTGGCGGTTTATTGTTTTCCGACTCTTCACGGTCAGCGAGTTTTTGGAGGCGAGTTCGATTTCATGTTCTGGAACTGCTGGCCTGCTGGAACCACAGTGGCTGGAACGCTGGAACTTCTCCAGCGGTCACCTTTCTTAACAAGGTAAAACAGCGCTGTGTCTGTGCCTTCTTTGTTTCTTCAGTCAGTTGACTAACGTGGAGGTTTGGGCTAGTTGGTATTTCATGATTAAAAATTAAAACAGCGCAAGGACACGGACAAGAACAAGAAGGTAGACGAACAAGGCGCTGACACAACTAAAGTTTATTCGTCCTAACATCAAGTATAAATATTGAACGTGGTGACAAACAAAGAAAGATAAAAAACATGTAATGGACGCCACGTGCTCCTTAGCCACCGTTATGCGCTGTCACTTTGTGTCCGAAAAGGAATGTTGCTTTCTCGACACAAAGTGACAGCGCATAACGGTGGCTAAGGAGCACGTGGCGTCCATTACATGTTTTTTTTATCTTTGTTTGTCTTGATGTTAGGACGAATAAACTTTAGTTGCAAGTCAGCGCCTTGTTCGTCTACCTTCTTTTTCTTGTCCGTGCCCTTGCGCTGTCTTAATTTTTAATCTTCAGTCAGGTTTTTTTGCGCTGTTTTACCTTGATGATCCAGTGGTGTATCTAGGGTCAGCGGGGGTCCATATCACAAGAGCAATGACATTTGAGCGAATGGTCGTTTTAGCGAATAACGGGGGCGCGCGTTACACAAGAGCGAATGACATTTTAGCGAACGGCGACATTTGAGCGAATCACCCAGTGCGGTGGCCCGCGCCGTTCCTGCAGCATCGGCAAACATTCGGGTGATGGTAGCTGATGGTAGCCCAACTCGAACGATCTCTGAAGCTCAGCTAAAGTGAACTAGCTCAGCCCGTGCTCAATGAATTGCCAACTTCAGCGCATGTATGTGATGAGCACTGACTATATATAATTAGCGTCAGATCATGTAGCCAGTGTAAGAGAACGAATGGGTGTTTTTGCAAGTTATCAACATGAAGGATTAGTTTTCAATTATATTTACTGAAAGAGCAGACATGCACAACCCATGTTACATGTAGTGCACATCATTGAAGCACCAACATGTTTTCATTGTTGCTGAAGTCCCTCAAAAAGTTGTCCCCGATCAGGGACCTTTTTCATAGTTCGATCATGATTGTGGCGCATCCTCGTGGGAATTGCTCGAAACACTTTTGGTGGCTCTGGCACAGTCTCTCCGTCGTCCGCGCCAGGCCTGGCGTGCCTCCCGGTCCATCTGTTTACGTGTCTTCTCTGGTGGCGTTGTTCCGTCTTTCCCCATTCTGAACGTGTCTTTCTGTCTTCGTTTGGCGTGTATATTTTCTTTGAAATGGCTGAGGACGACCTGGAGGATTAACAAAAGCTACTGTCTACGATACAGAGGACCTCGTTCGTTTTTATACCTTCGAGGGTGCATACACTCCCTCCGGATAACACCGACTACAAAGCAAAGATTTCAGAGCACTCTAAACTTCTTAAATTAAAAATTAAAGAAGCCAAACATAAGTACTATAACGTGACCCTCCACGAGTTCATGAAAGCGTCACCTCGGAAATTTTGGAACCACGTTAACCCTAAAAAGTCTCAAATGAATTGTATGAGCTCCATAGAGAAACAAAAAATGGCAGATGAATTTAACAATTACTTTAAGTCGGTATTTATAGCTGATGATGGTAATGACGGTTTAACTTTACCACAATGCAACACTGCTGAAGAACTTGGAAGCCTAATAGTTACGGAACCAGGC